TCTTAAGCAGTGAGGCCGATTCGAATGACAGATAGATTAACAATTTTGAATTATAATAGCATTCAATATGGCTGGTGCTAATAACTTATTATGATAACGGGCAGAATATTGTGCCAAATGCCATTTTAGTAAATAAAACTATCAATCTAGTTTTCACTATAGTGACGTAAATGAGTATGTCATTATTTTTTGTTTCCAGTACTAACTAATATTTGTTAGAATTTCTATTTAGATGCAGCGGCGAAAGTTAATGAAGCGTAAACGTCTTTTTTGTGCAGTATACGTTTTGACTGCAACTATAAACTATAAAGTTTACTATAAACAATCTGAAAACTTCAACAGTTGATTAAGTGCAGTTATTAACGTTCAAAGTCGACTCAGCTATCGTTTCTTGTAAATCAAGCACCTTTGTCGCTATGACGACATTAATTCATTAATGTTCGACATAGATACACGACCAGCGACTAGTCATTTCTCGCGAATCATTTAAAACAACAGCTTACTAATACAGTGACTTGAAATAATTCATGTCTTGGCACTTTCACGAATTGATTTGGGCGTGGAGCAATAAGGGACCCGAAAGTTGGTTTCCTCAATGAGGTTAACATTTTTGACGTTTTTCGTCACATCGGCAACGTCTCTGGCAAACTGACAACCGTTTGGGTCGCTCCTGTCCAACGAGAAGAGGAGGTCTGTCGTTGGGGATAGCGTGAGGGCAGGGTCGCCGGTGGTTCGCTGCTTGGTGATCGATGGCGGAGGGAAGAAGTAACTTTGCGGCAAGGGCAGTGCCGACGGAAAGAAGTTGGGGGAGCCTTCAAATTTTAGTTGCGAGCCGCTGCTGCTGCAGCTGGTTGAAGGCAGCACTGAGTACGGATTGTCGACATCATGCGGAAATCCAGGAAAAAGGCTAAAAGAATCGCATTCGCCATTTGAACGTCGGTCTACACGTCATGCTCTTACTTGCACTGCAACAGCCTGTTGAAACGGACTCTTTCTTGCAACGTTGATCTCCACATGTTTTGATAGTAGTTCAGCGGTGTTTGCTGATGTGTGCAAGGTGAACAGGCGTACGGTGGGGCAGTCGTCGTCGAAGCAGCGTTCAGCATGTAACTCGCGAAATGCACGTTGGAATAAGGCCAAGCCAAAGACATACGCTGTCGCTTGTCTTTCATTCTGCGGTTTTGAAACCATACCTAGAATGATGTGGTATAGTAAATCAGGCTATAATACATGTTCCACCAGTTTATGTTATACCGCAGTAATTCGTTAGTCTGCTATCAACTCATACATACGTAGTGCTTAAATTTTATGGTTTTCATATCAGGTAGCAAAATGGAGGTCTTTGTCTGAAGTCAGCAGAGTTATGTGAACGACCGATATTTCTTAATGTTATAAGTTGACCAGTTTTTTTTCAATATTTTGATTAGTTTCCCTTCTCAGGGATGAATAATGCAAGTTATGTCCTTATTTCATGTTCAATAACTAACAGTATTCGAATATTGGGAATATTGCTCTGTATACAGCATCCATTTGATCCGGTTTAAAACAAAACGCAATAATAAATGTTTAGAAAGCCAATTTTGCTTAATAATACTGACATGTTTTTTGTAGTGATAGTACTATCAGCCGCTATGATGTCTGTACGACTTCACAGATGTCTATGCAATATTATTAAGATTAAATTATGTAGCACTTCGTTG